ATCTCTGTCTCAGGTTGGGCAGTTGTTTGAATGCTAGTATGGGGGGGTTCAGGAAATATTTCTTTGAGTGTGGGGTCATCTGAAATTAATGGTTGTAATAATTTTATGTACCTTGTTTGGTGTGAAGGGGAAGGAAGCTGGAATTGTGGAGGTAGCTGTACCTGTCTGTGGGTTTTCTATATACAGACGAATGAAGAATGCCATTGGTGACAGTTATTGTGCAGTCTAAGAAACTCACACTATGATTTGAAAAGTTAATTTTAAGGTTTATTGACGGGTGAAATTAATTGAATTATTTATGGAAGTCTATAAGGCTTTCTTCTCCTTCTGTCCATATTTTGAAAATATAATCGATGTAACAATAATATGTATATGGTTTGTGGGGCTGTGTACATAAAAGTCTGTTTTATAGGTCAGCCATGAAAAGATTAGCGTATTGGGGTGAAATGTTTGTGCCCATCGCTGTCCCAGTCATTTGTAGGTAGTTATTTTTATTAAATTGAAATAGTTGTGTGTGAGTATGAATTCTATAAGCTGGGCAATTATGGTGTGTTGGTGTGTGGGATGAGAGAAATTTAATGCAGGCCTTAATACCATCCTTATGTGAGATGTTACCGTATAATGATTCCACATCCATTGTTACTAGTATAGTGTTTTCAGGTAGTTCATTTATTTGGTTAAGTTTATTAAGGAAGTCTGTAGTGTCCTGTATAAAGCTCTCAGTCTTAATAAATAGGGGCTTAAGAATGTTTTCTATTAGGCCAGACATTTGTTCCATGAATGTTCCCATACCTGTTATAATGGGCCGTCCTGGGTTTCCTGGCTTGTGGATTTGGGGCAGCATGTAGAAGGTTCTGAGGATCTGAGCATTGGAAGGCATCAGATTTCCTCGCTTCACCTTTATTGGATCAATTTATATACATACGTATGTGTAGCTATTTACATGCCCTCCTCTGCTGTTTTCTTGTTTTGTTTTGTTTTTCGTTTTTGTGTTTTTTTTTTCTTTTCAACTAGCTTATTGACTTTCTTCTCTTTACTTTTTCTGGCTATTCTCAGCCAACCTGCACCTTTCACTTTCAGGCACATCTTCTGCTATTTATGACACCCCACTCACCACCCTCCTTCCCTCCCCTTCTCTAACATCAGTTGTTTTAAGTTGTTTTAAGTGTTTAACTCTATCAGATTGATATCAGAAGTATTGCTTCAGAAGAAAACCCTTGAAAGCTTGTCTTTGAAATATTATGTTAGTCCAATAAAAAAGGTATCATTGCATACTGCAATACTCTGGCATTTTGGCATCTTGTCTACTGGACTAATATGGCTATACCAATCTACACTACTATATATATTTATATTGTAAATTGTCCTCACCTCACACTCCCAGAGACATGTGAAGCTCTCCATTTTCTCTCAGCACTACCCACCCTACCTCCACTTCTCCCACCCACTAAATATATAGTATGCTCCTCCACCTGTATTAGAGTATCACTTAATTACCTCCTCATTCCACTTTGATTTTACCAATAGCTGCAACTCTCTGCTAACTTCTTTTATCCATCACTTCCAAATCCCCCCTGCTACCTCTTGTCTCAAATCCCCATTATATCCTTTAGATTAGTGGTCCCTAACCCAATATCAGGAAGTATTACTTTACTGAGAGGGTAGTGGATGCATGGAATAGCCTTCCAGCTGAAGTGGTAGAGGTTAACACAGTTAAGGAGTTTAAGCATGCGTGGGATAGGCATAAGGCTATCCTAACTATAAGATAAGGCTAGGGACTAATGAAAGTATTTAGAAAATTGGGCAGACTAGATGGGCCGAATGGTTCTTATCTGCCGTCACATTCTATGTTTCTATGTTTCTATGTTTCTATGTGTTCATAGACCACCAACAGTCCAGGATTTATGTATTTCCCCATTTTATTCCAATGGAGATACTGACAAAACTTTGACTGTTGTTGGTCAATGAGGATTGGGTCGGAGAACACTGCTTTAGATTGTAAGCTTATGGGCTCTCTAGCTTAGCACTTTGTATAAAAGAGCTTTAATGGCTAGATAGATAGATAGATAGATAGATAGAGTTGATTTGTGAATGCATACATTCTTAATCTGTGTAATTTGTTTCAACTCTCACTCTTCTAGTACCATCTTCTGCACTATATGTTGTTTCTCCCCCACTCTGTGATTTTAATGCAAAACTTTTACAACCCTCTGTGAGAATGGTGTTAATGATCTATCAGACCTGTGTATTATCTGTACTCATGTCACTTAGACTAAGTATCACAACTCAATTTTGGATTCTTTTTTTTATATATAATAGTCCATTATTTATGATGTTCAGTCAGATGACAAATAATATGCATTATAAACGAAATTCAAAGCATACATTATCAATTCTTTGAATGTAAGCGTAATATATACTGTATTTTTCCGTGGTTAAGATGCCCCAATGTATAAGACGACCCTTATTTTTTTAGCCCAAAATTAAGAAATACATATTCTAAACATCTATATCACTGAAGTCCAGTTTCGCTGATCAGGTTTCCCAACTGGACCTAGGCCCCCTCACACTCTGATAGGCTGCTCCCCGAGGTCCGGCAACGTCTGGACACTGGTCTGGACAAAAATGTGAGTAGATTTCATTCCAATTTTATTCAAATATCACTATTTAAAACAGAGATCACTATATTTTATTTATTTTATATGCCGATTGAATCATGAATATTCAAAATGAACATCTCCAGCTTTATCCATGAGCATGGATCATACCCCCAGGCAACCCAACCGGTTACCTCCGCTAATTTCTTCTTTCAACCACTCTGGAACCATCAAATTAAACAGACCTCCATTCCCCCCAGTAACAGGACGAAACACACCTCTGGGAGTACAACACAATTTTTTTGTGCCACACACAGCTTTTATGCATAACCCCTTGCAAGTGGTCTTCCACACAAGCAAACAGGGGTTTTCATCCCAGGATCCTCTGTGCCAGGGAGCCCGGGTGTGGGAAAAGGGACCTAGTCTCTTTGTCTCCCAGGCACAGAAAGCCCACCAAAGTAGCCAGTGCCCCAAAAGTGTCCCCACCAACCTTAGGCACTCCCACACAAGTACATTTCCCAACCAGTCTCTGTTTCTTGAGGCTCCTCTGTGAACAGGAAATGCGGCAGGAATCTTTCTCAATCCTGGCCGGTCGCTGCAAAGGTACAGAGCATCTGATTCAACGTGCCATTGAAGCGCTCGCACAGGCCATTAGTCTATGGTAAGCTCAGAATCCGGTTAATACCGCATAACTTCCACAGTTGGTGAGTCATCTCAGCAGTAAACTGGGTGCTCTGATCTGAGACAGTCTTCCGAGGAAAACCCATCCGGGAGAACATTCGCATCAGGGCCTCGGCTACAGTCACTGCCTGAAAATTGTTCAGGGTGACTGCCTCGGGGTACCGAGTTGCGTAGTCCATAATGGTCAGAATGTATTTCTTATACAAAAAAAACAAGGCCTGCACTAACTCCCATCACTCCTGGGCGGCAGCAACAACCACAGTACACATCAGCCCCAATTCATAAAGTAAAAACCAAATAAAAAGTTACCTGCGCTCTCTCCTAAATCCCTATGTATATTTAAACAAATGGAGGTCATTTAGTTACTCCAATGGTCATTGCAGGGAATGCCCGCCTGCCAACGTCAAGGCAGACCCCCTTAGGTGGGTCGTACACTGACCTTTCACCTTACTTCCCTTGCAGTTTCGCACTTAAGTGGTCAGTGTCAACATTCTAATGGGGTACAGGAGTGGTCCTCGTTCGGGAGACGAAAGAATTCTGTTCATACGATGTCTTCCGAACGGAAAAGGATGAAACAGGCCAATACAAGGAGAAAATATATATATAAAAGTATCTGAAGGTCTTCATTCTGCTACACTTATTTTGCCTGATAAAAGATTCTACAGCTCTTTGCAGGCCATCTAAATTGCATTTGGTAACCTTGAGAAGCAGAGCCTGGGATGAAAACAAGAATCTAGGCAAAATATTCATTTTGATACAATGGATTCTGCCAGTCCACAATATAAACTTATCAATCCACCTCTCCAGGTCTTTCTTTAAAGTGTTCATTTCAGGTGTGTAGTTATCTGAATATAGATTAGAATAAGAGGAGACAATTTTAACCCCCAGATATTGAAAGGATCAATGTTGAACTCTATGTGTTGTTTATGTTCAGAAAAGCTTTACACATGAGAAAGGTAGATTCTTTCAAAAGCTTGTCATTCCAAAATTTAATGGGAATAGCATTTTCTCTTTAATGTTTACTATATTTATACATGTTATTTGAGGAATTGCTTACAGTAATTTCTTCTGTAACATTATTACAAAATGTTATTTTTTTTTTAACTCTTTCACCCTCCTGGTTGTATGTTACTTTAACAAAGAGTCTGATATTGTACTTGGTACTCCCACCACATGGGCTCTTACATCTCGATTGGACTTTAGCCAGGCCCACTTTGATCTTAGGTCGGACTGGAGCTTTCAATGAAGGCATTATAGAGACGGGTATATTTCACTTGTGTCCCCTTTCACAAATGGAACTTGTCCAACAGATTGCAACGTGCATCAACAGCAGCAAAGGATTTGGGGAGATTAATGCCAACCCTGCTCGCAATGGACTCTTTAATGGAATTGGCATCATAAACTGGAAGGGTTCTTCTCACCATGGACTCTTTAATGTAATTGGCATCATTAATTGGAAGTGTGGTTCACTTACAGAGTCTCACAATTACAGCTTGCTTGAATGGATATAATCTTGCTGTTTTTCAGTGCATAGATGCCCATTTTTCACCTTCTTCCATTTTTCTTGGTTTAAGGCTTTAATAGTCTCATTAAATGTAAGCATGAGGCCCCACTAATATATAAAATAATAGGGTTGTATTTTGTGTGTGTGTAAGGAGCATTCGCTATATTGAAAGTATGTTTGTAAGTGCCAGTGTGTGTATCTCTGTGTTAGTGTGTATCTGTGTGTGTGTGTGTGTGTGTGTGTGTGTATCTGTGGCACACAGATACACACTGACACACCAACACACACACCTTGACACACAGATACACACACTCAGATACACACACACACTCAGATGCACACAGTGACACATACACACATCTTTACTCACAAACACACACACTTAGATACATACAGTGACATACACACACACTTGCACCCAGAGATACACACACTGGCACATACACTCAGATACACACATTGACACATACACACAGTGTCATATACACACATTGACACACTCAGATACACACACTGATATACACTGGAACATACACACACACACATACTGACATACACACACACACAAACACAGAGATACTCAGATACACACAGTGACACATACACAAGCCTTAACACAAAGATACACACACAGACACACATACTCTTTGACAGACACACATACACTGTCACTGACAAACACACATGCTCTTTGACAGACACACATACACTCTCACTGACAAACACACATACTCTTTTACAGACACACATACAAACACAAACATACTCTCACTGACAAACACACATACACTCTTTGACAGACACACTAACACATACAAACTCCCTAACAGACACACATACCTTTGGGAGTGCTGGCATGGAGTCTCTATGTCTCTGTGGTCCAGTGGGCCTGCTGGGCTGAGCAATCGGTCCCTGGGGTCCAGTGGGGCTGCTGAGCTTCCGGGTATGCGGTCCCTGGGGTCCAGTGGGGCTGCTGAGTGGCTGGCGTGCGGTCAGCAAGGGAGCAGCGATCTCCCTGCTCAGCTCTCTCGCGTGCCTCTTAGTGATGCCGGAACCGGAGTGACGTCATATCTGCTGTGCACGCGAGGGAGCTGAGCAGGGAGATCACTGCCCACTGCTCCCTCGCCGCCCACGGCCATTTTGTTTTCAGAAATTTTGGCAGAACCCCATTTGTGTTCTCGGAACACCAGTTGGGAAACGCTGCATTAGACTTATCTAAAAGACTTTTATTTCCACAGCAAATAATGTGACTAAAGCTCAGTATAGAAATATTCTACTAAGAACTTTCATTAACACAATTTCTGAAATCTACTAAAGTAAAGAATAGTTATTTTACAAGGGAAATTACCAAAGTCAAGAATCATTAATAAACAATTGTGTAGACATATGAGGCATTGGTGTTGGCGGAAGTGCAGGCATTATTGATGCGGTATTTAGAGAGGTAACTTAAATTGACGCTGGCATGTACAGAGCAACTGCCATACTCTGATAGTGTGGGCAAGGACTTTTTACATTCATGTTTGAGTGAATGAGGTCTACATCCACCATCACCCTCTTTGTACAACTGTTTTAGGGTAACATTGATACATATAAAAAAGTATCTTTGCTATTGTATCCTGTCTTTACGTGGACATATATAAAGTTAATTGAAATAATTTGAGTAATTGGCCAGTAGATGGCGCTGTTGCATGAGTTATTTCATTAATTTCTGTTTCATTAGGACATAAATTCCATTTTAGAATTCGCAAAATATCGAACAGATTGCAGACTACTTAAGTACATAAAAGTAAAACGTGCAGTATGGAAAAATAATGCCATAGAGGAGTCAGATATATGGATGTCTCAAAAACGCCAAGATGACTTTATTTTCCAAAATGACATTTTTCATTGATATTTATCTTTAAATTTGCATGATTTTTAAAAAATTAGGTTTAGGTCTTCCGTAAACATTAGGACTAAAGTTTCATTAACTTTTGAGCTGTACTAGGAGATAAATACCCTGGCATGTCCAAGACTTGTGGAAGTAATATTTTTATTTGTGGCTGCTGTCTTTAGTTCAGCCAAACTTAGGTTGCTGGCATGTGAGGATACAAGTTTGGGAAACTGAAAGAGGGTGGTACTCTCCCCCTCTCTCTCATTATGGGAGAGAGACTACATTTTTGGTAGCAGCTGAAAGTAGTAAGTCTTGCCTAGAAGGGCAACCCCCAACAATTCTGAGAAGGCCAGGAGATGGATGTCCCTGCACTGCTCTAATAGGGGGATAACACATGGCACACTATCAGTCTCACTGTGCAATACAGTTTTTAAAGGTTAGGAAAGGAATTGACACGTGATAGACAGTGTGTTATTGAGATTGGAGTTAAGTGGTAAATAAATGTCTCCAGAGCAATCTGATAGCATCATCTCTAATACTGTCATGATTACTAGTTGATCCAGCACATAGAACTGTATCACAGCTAGGACTAAAAGGTAACGTCTTATCGGGCCTTAGAATGGCCGGACTTAACGTACCAGAGAATAGTCAGAATACTTGCCGAGGTTGGAGACACAAAATGAGACCAAATGATGAAGGAAAGCCAAAAGTCAGGGATACCAGAATACAGGGAAGTCAAACGAAGCCAAAGTCAATAACCAGAAATAAACGCTCAGGAACACAGACAACCACTAAGGGAAACCACGACAAGACAATGAGGAGAAGTAAAACTGCGTTAAAATAAGCCTTTTACAAATCTGATTGGCCGAAATCGGCTTTTGACCACAGAACATGTGCACGCGTCTCCTGCGTGATATCTCACGCATGCCGACGTCATCATCACCGTGGGCGGACTTGGGGCTATAATTTGGCATGGATCCACAGCGGCCGGCATCCACCAACATGTTGCAGGAGTCAGGTACACTGACGCATGGTCGTAGAGTGCAGATACCGCAAGGTGAGGATGAATATGTTACAAATACATGCTTAGCCATTATAAATATTCAGGGCCGGCGGTACCATAATGCCATAGGCAGCCGCCCGAGGATGCATTGGCCTAGGGAGTGCATGATTCGAGACCGGCAGCAGGGGAGACTACTGCACAGCGCTACCCTCTTGCCGGTCTCCGAATGTAGAGTGGCCGAACGCAGAAAAACTTGTTTCCATCTCCACGGTTTGACCGGAAGTGCTCACTGTGAGCACCGAAATGCTTCCTGCCAGTCCAGGAAGAGTGTAACAAGCACCTCTCCCGTGGTCTGGGTTTGTCCACCCTACACAGGAGGAAAGAGGTCTGCTGGCAAATGGGGGCTGTGTGTGTGGAGAGTAGGTAAAACACATGAGGGAGGGAGGGGAGGGAATGAGACACGTGGAGGATTGAGTCACATGGGGAGCTGTGGAATTGAGAAACATGGGAGTGCTGGGGGATTCAGAAACAAGGGAAGCTGGGGCAATGAGAAACATTTAGGGAGGGCTGGGAATTGAGACTCATGGGGGGTTGAGACAAATGGGGGCTGGGGGATAGAGAAACACATGGGACACAAAGTGAGATAGAGTGGGCTACTGGAGAAAGAGACATGGTGCTGGGGGGAAGAGACACACAAATTGGACTGTGTGAGACTTAAGGGAAAGACACCCTGAGGGGCTGAGGGACACAAAGAGACACAGAAGGGCTAAGAAAGGGGGCAAAGGAGACAGATAGAGGCTAGGGAAGGGATTGGGAGGGGGAGAAAGAGACACACAAAGGTCATGAGGTAGAAAGAGACACACAAAGGGGATGGGGGAAGAAAGAGACACACAAAGGAGCTGGGGTAGAAAGAGACACACAAAGGGATGAGGTAGAAAGAAACATAAAGGGGTTGGAGGTAAGTAGGCAACACACAAAGGTTTGGGCAGTGCCATCTTAGCAGCATTATAGGCCCCCAGGGCAAAGCAGTGCACTGGGGCCCTGCCTACACAACAACTCACAGGAGTAAAACATGTAAATTATCGATCAAATTAAGCTTATATTTATTGGTACCTCCAAAAAATGCAATACATACATACAATACATACACACAGACTGCTGAGCACACACAATCTGCCGAGTACTCACATACAGACTGCTGAATACACACATACAGACTGCTGAATACACGCACAGACTGCTCTCGGCACGAGAGGGACCACAGCAAGCAAGCAGGGCCAGCTCTCCATGGGCCTGCAGGGACATTCAAAGGATCTCCCCTGTCGGACTAGGCACATGGACATCTCGCTGGGGCCCCTATGCTTGTGGAGCCCCAGAGCAACTGCCCATTGTGCTCAAGAGGGCCCTGGGTTGGGGTGTAAGAGACACAAAGGGCAAAAATGGGGCATAAGATATATTAAAAGTGGCAGATAAGAAACACAAAATAGGTAAGAAAGTTTAGAGAGGGGATTAAGGGACACACAGGTGAAGCTGCATTTTGTGGGGGAAGGAGGGGGGGAGAGGGATGCAAAATGCTTCTTCGCATGTGTAGCCAAAAATCCTTGTACCGGCCCTGAATATATTTTATATTATATGATATTTTAGAACTAGGATGATGTGTTAGTAATTGTATTGAGTAGACTTTTTTCCCCTAGATTTTAAAATATACCTAACATAGTTACCCTGACAATTGCTCTATTAAAAGAGAATACAAATGTGTATATAATGCTAGTTGAAATGCTAGTAATTATAGAATTTTTTTTATATATTTGTAGTTTAAAATATAGTCCTTCCCTCACCTACCTACCAATTCTAGGCATAGAGGTTTAAGCCAAGGACCGAATGACAAAGGAAGACAGTAGAGCCCTTTACAGGTGGTTCTCCTGTGTTCCACCCAAAACTACTCACCCAGCACGTGTTTCTAACACTTACTGAAAGAATATAAAAGCAGACTGAATGATCTAACTGTTACAGGGTCATACCCCAACTCATAGGCAGGGTCACCATCAGGGGGTGACAACCATGACGGATGTCACGGGCCCGACATTCCTCCTGGGCCCCACGTGTAGCGGCAGACCTGGATACCTCAATTCCTTTCTATTGGAACAATAATGGCTAATAATTCCCTATTCCCAATGTTGCAATTATGTTTGACCTGCGTACGTTTTCTACAATAGAATCTACATGAATGTAGCAATTGATCAGGGGACTTGCGTTGAGATAGGACAGTATCTATTACAATCTCACAAGCATCCACTTTCAATATAAATGGTAGCATAGGAACCAAATGTCTGAGAATAAGAGCAGAAACAAAAGCCTGTTACAGCCTTTCAAAATGCTTTAATAGCTTCAGGTGACCATATATAGTGATTTGTACC